TAAAAAAAATGCCGGATGATGAGACCGCGACGAAGAGGGAGGAAAAAGTGGGACAAGTCCAATGCATATGTATCCAGAGTTATCGTTAGTCTAGCGTCTGGAATGTTTGGAGGCGCCAAGAGAATCTAAAGATTTAGCCAAACACATGCTCCGCCCGTAAAGATGAGGTTGTTTCCAGTCGAGCCCCAGATGATGCGGGGGAGCATCCCCATCCGCTTCATACTCAATACCTACGCAAGCGCGCACCTGGCTCTCATAGTTGGCCAGTTGTTTGCCCTCACGTGAAGCGATTTCACCGCTATGGGTTGTGGGACTGTCTTCCGTACTCTCGTTCTTTTCATATACCGCTTTCTCGAGAACATCCAAGGACAAAGTTGTTGTTTTTTTTTTTAATGCCCGCTGTCGTTGACCCGAGTTCTCAGTACCGACTACGTCGTGGGCTGATACGTTTATTTTTGAAACGTTAGTTTACGAAGTGTCAGTAAACCGGTACTAGGGTTTGGCATAGACTCGAATAGAATCTTTATATACGTATCAACGACTTTAAATTTAATGTATCCAAAACTCATATGACTTGGATCAACGGATCCCAAAAGGTGAAGGGGGGGGGGGGTCGCAGAATCAGACTCAGCGTAACATATCTTTATTTTAAAGTCATTTATAAAGTAAGATTTTTTTCTTACAAAAACGAATATAAGCGCTTGACTGTACTAAAACTATACCCCCCACCCCCACCCATTTTTTCCCCAATCGAACGTGAATCCCAGAAATCTGCCTGACTGCTCAGATGGGAAGTGAGTTAGGAAAATTAAAGAATCCCTGTTTTAGATAATCAAATGAGTTACGTGTATATTCTGACTCTACTTGTCTACGTGTTTTTCTGCTCTTGTTGTGTTAGTATTATTCGAACAGCATTTATCAATAGAGTTCCACTTAATCCAGCTTATGATGTAACTCATTATGTTCTTTCAACGCCGTGACGGTGTTTGAATTGAGTTTTGTCTGGGTAATATAGGCAAGACCCTTATCTAAGTCACTCCAACATAACATCGCTAAATTATCAGCTCACGAAACTCGATGATAATTGGAAATATTGAACATAAAAGGCTATAATATCACTAAATTATCAGTATTCGAAACACGCTGACAATTAAAAACATTGGACAGTAAAGGCATGGAGCATTTGAAATCGCTACGATTGACTTGTGAACAGCACGCGAAGTTTGTTTATATAATTTCGATATTGATCTCTTCTGTGTCGTTATTTTTTTTCTTTATCGGAAACCTTTTATTTGATGCCACGTATTTTCTTCAAAGATGTAAAATCCCCTTTCTGTCATTTTATCAAATTATTTCGTTTCAGTGTTTCATTAATGAGTTGATTAAATGCTGTACAATATGCCTCAATGACACTTGCAGTGTTTAACAGCTGTCTGTTTTTTTTTATATGCCTGAGTGACACCAGTTTTTAAAATTGGCTGTGTTGTCCGAGTGACACTTGCAAGTGTTTACAGTTTGCTGTGTTCTTCTCTTATGTGCCTTGGTGACACTTGCAAGTATTTACAGTTTGCTCTGTTTTTCTCTCATGTGCCTAAGTGGCACTTGCGAGTGTTTACAGTTTACTGTGTTCTTCTCTCATGTGCCTGACTGGTACTTGCAAGTGTTTACAGTTTGCTGTGTTCTTGTCTCATTTGCCTGACTGGTACTTGCAAGTGTGTACAGTTTACTGTGTTCTTCTCTCATGTGCCTGAGTGGCACTTGCAAGTGTTTACAGTTTACTGTGTTCTTCTCTCATGTGCTTGACTGGTACTTGCAAGTGTTTACAGTTTATTGTGTTCATCTCTCATTTGCCTGACTGGTACTTGCAAGTATTTACAGTTTGCTCTGTTTTTCTCTCACGTGCATGACTGGTACTTGCAAGTGTTAACAGTTTACTGTGTTCATTTCTCACGTGCATGACTGGTACTTGCAAGTGTTTACAGTTTACTGTGTTCTTCTCTCATGTGCCTGAGTGGCACTTGCAAGTGTTTACAGTTTACTGTGTTCATCTCTCATGTGCCTGAGTGGCACTTGCAAGTGTTTACAGTTTACTGTGTTCATCTCTCATGTGCCTGAGTGGCACTTGCAAGTGTTTACAGTTTACTGTGTTCTTCTCTCATGTGCCTGACTGGTACTTGCAAGTGTTTACACTTTGCTCTCTTCTTCTCTTATTTGACTTGGGTGTACGGGTACTTGTTCTTGTTTGCTAGTCCTAAAATGAATGTTGTACTTATGTCATCTAATTTAGTTCTGTGTTTAATTGAGAGCAAAGACTAAATGTATTCAGGCTGCTGTTGTATAACAACATAAATTGGATTTGTTCGCCTATATTTAGATGGTTTTGAAGAAAATACAAAATGATCAGGTCCTAAGAGCCTGGTCTTTGGACACTTTAGTCAAAATCGAATTCACACCGAGCAGGTGGCGCCGTCGTAGTACATATATAGCACCCTCTGCTGGCAAAAACGCGATGTGTATTGTTAACTTCCTAATTTTAGCATCAGCGAGAGTGTGTTTTGTTTGAAGATGTTGCACTGTCTTTTAGAACCAGTGCAAAGTACCTGTTGGCTTGCCCCCAGTCACTCAGAGGTAATTCTGCGGGCCTACGACGCTAAAAATCGGTTTTCGATACCCGTGGTGGGCACAGCACAGACAGCTCATTGTGTAGCTTCGTGCTTAACAACAACCAACCAGCTTAGTGGTTTCATTCGAATTAAATCTTTAAAAAAGCATCTTATATTATTTAAAACTTTGTAAAGTCATCAGTTCTTAACCCTGATAAATATTTATACATAAAATCCCTTCTTCGTTGTTCTTTAAGCTAACTGCACATTTATGTCTGATCTACAAGTTTTTAACTCTATAATTACTAACCCTATCGGCTTTTTTCAAACACGTTGTTTTACCAAACTGTTTTCATATGGTTTCGGAGAACTCCACTCCTCATCTCTAATACTAGACAAGGGAAAACCGCATTAATTTTTAGTATTTTAAACAGTTTGTTGGTTAATAATTTACAAGAATAATTTATTAATTCAACAAATAATTGTTATTATTGTAAGGTTTAACTTTTTGTTAAGGACTGAGCAGGCCCACGTCAATTATCTGTTGGGTAGCGGTAAACACAAGTTCTTAGCGTTCAGGAAAATATAAAAACGAACTCATCAGAACCTGTATTCATCGCCTTAGAAGGTGTTGACAGATAAATTTGATTATGTAAACTTATCACTGCCAAAAGATAGCACATTATCACGTTCTTAAACCAAAACTAATCTGCGGGTCGCGGGTTCGAATCCCCGTCACACCGAATATGTTTGCCCTTTCAGCCGTGGGGGCGTTATAATGTGACGGTTAATCCCACTATTCGTTGGTAAAAGAGTAGCCCAAGAGTTGGCGGTGTTGACTAGCTGCCTTCTCTCTAGTTTTACATTGCTCAGTTAGAGACGGCTAGCGCAGATAGCCCTCGTGTAGCTTTGCGCGAAATTCATAACAAACAAACTTATGATAGAATTCCCCCCGAACAAACAACTCGTTGTACGTATTGTTTTGTAATTTTGTATACAGTTGCTGCTTTCTTTGTCGCTGTGTCACGTGAGTGTATTCTCTATGTACATCTTCTCAAGTTAGAAAAACATGTATTAAGCTTTAAAGGTCGTGGTATTTCGTTTATTTCTAGATATAAAAAATCAGTTTGTGATGTTTGTACATTTAGATAATTTTCAAACTAACTCCCATGGGCATTAGCTATTTTTAAATATATTTTACCTGTTGTTTCTTTCACTATATACACCATGTTTTACAACTAATGAAATGAGAAACTGGTCTGGCTTAGTGGTTAGCATGCCGAGCTTCCTATCGAAGGTCCAAGGTTCGAGCCGTGATTTGTCTCTGAACACATTTCGTACTTTTATATGCGGGGGTGTTATAAATGTAACAGTCAGTCCTGTTATTCGGTTAAAGGTAGCTGATGGGTACAATTGACAGGCTGTCTTCCCTTTGGTCAGCAATTCTGAATTATGGATAACTATGCCTAAACCTGTGATCTGATGGGTACAATTGACAGGCTGTCTTCCCTTTGGTCAGCAATTCTGAATTATGGATAACTATGCCTAAACCCTGTGATTTGTGATTTGTAGTCCTTGTGTTGCATAAGGTACCCGTCAGGCTTAAAATACCAAATATCTAATAAACTAAACAATAAACAAATATATATGTATATATTCATGGCACAATATCACATACAATGTTTGTTTGTGTGATCATTTTCTTTCTTGTGGTTATTTTGAACTGTACAAACGATGAAAAACTTTATGAATTAAAGAGTTGCATATCACTGACCAAGTGAAATCCGAACTGAACATCTGTCAGTCAGTGTATCACAAAAATATATTAATAACTAGATGTAATTCTGCAGGGTCCCCGAAAGTGTTCTGTTTCATATATACCTGTTTTTACTATGTGTTTGTATATACACGTGTGTTTTTAACTGTGTGTTTGTATATACACGTGTTTTTTTACTATATGTTTATACATACAAGTGTTTTTAACTATGTGTTTATATACACGTGTTTTTACTATGTGTTTATATATACACGTGTTTTTTTACTATGTGTTTATGTATACACGTGTTTTAACTGTGTTTATATACACGCGTTTTTTTACTATATGTTTATATATATATACACGTGTGTTTTTAACGGTGTGTTTATATATACACGTGTTTTTTTACTATGTGTTTATATATACACGTGTTTTTTACTATGTGTTTATATATTCACGTGTTTTTAACTGTGTTTATATATACACGTGTTTTTTACTATGTGTTTATATATTCACGTGTTTTTAACTGTGTTGATATATACACGTGTTTTTAACTGTGTTGATATATACACGTGTTTTTTACTATGTGTTTATATATTCAAGTGTTTTTAACTGTGTTGATATATACACGTGTTTTTTAGATGAGTGGGAAGCGTACTCGGAGTTTTAAAATTGCCGTCCATCATCGAGACAGGGACGTGTGGAGCGAGAACGATTTTCATCTCCTCACGCACGAGCCGCGCTTTTTTCACAGGATGGTCAGAGCTGTAGCCCACGAGTTCCTGTCGGACGATCGAGACCGGAAATACTACGCTGACCACTACACGTGTTGCCCTCCTCCACTCTTTATCATCATTATTACCCTTATAGAGGTGAGAAACTTAATTACCTAAACCATTTTTTAGCCGCGGCATAACGGCTATGAGTTGTTTTTCTTCTTTATTTTCAAGTCCAATCACTTAGCTCATAGCTCCGTCATCTCTTGACCGATTTGAGATCTAATTACAGTTTTCGACACAGGTGGTCAAACCCTTTCGATTGATATTTTGATCACGCCCAAGGTCTCATAGGTTAATTTATTCTGATCATACCTAAAAGAATTTCAATTTGAGGGTAAGCTGGTAGAGATCCTGATGAGTAATAAAATCGGATCGGGTATACTTCGTATTGCTGACGCACAAAAATATAGCTAATCAAAAGGGGAAGAAAAACGTCTCATAGGTTAATTTATTCTAATCCTACCTAAAATATATTGAAGTGCCGCGGCTCTGAGGTTTCCCTCTTGTTACAGTTTAAACTCCATGTCTAAGCTAGCAAAGCACCTTACTGTAAAGACGATCCATTATGAGTATATATATATATGTGTTAGCATTCATCACCCAAAGTTGGCTGACTCCATTACTGAAATGTTTGGAATGGTAACTGGAAACTGTCCGACGATGCACATGAGCCATTTTGTTTTAGGATTTGTGTCAGAGAGGAGGGGGGAGGGGATAAAAAACGCCACGAAATAGGACACATTTCTACTTTTCTTGTAGACTTGTTGGCTTTGAACTTCAAGACATAAGTACTTAATCAGTTAAATAAGTCAGTTATTACCTTCCATAGAGCAGGGTATGCAATTAACATCTTGTAAGGTTATTAGGGATTTAATAAGACAAGAAAAGAAGGAGGATATATATCTAACATTGCTCTTTATACAATTTTTAACTGGTATCAAATAGTGGTTATAATTCATTATACTTGTCATAAAAAATCAGTTTTAGGCCTATATCATTTTTTAACAGTACAGTATTTATTCAGTCTCTTAGGGCTTTATCAATAGCTATGTTGTAATAAGTGGCTTATATAAATAGTGTTCCGACCACTACTGTGTTTTTTTTGTGTCCCAGCCGGGCTGATGAGCTCTGTATTGGGCGAAACGCGTCGTCAGCAATGAATATGGCTGATATAGTATGGTTGAAATTCTATTATATCTTGAAAAAGCCCGAAAGGACTGAATAAGAAACGATTCAGAAAACGTCCATTTTTGCTTAAAACTCTTTCCTATTAAATTTTCATTAAATCTTGATATGTCTAGCTAAGCCTAAGAACGCGTGTTTTACAAAGTATTGTCTTGTTTTATTTGCATATATGCACACTGTGCTTATTA